CAACCAAAACCATCTTTCCAGAAACAAAACGGGCATTCCTGAGATCTTTTTAAACCGGAGATAATGGATTTGTGAATGTCTTGGAGTCGGGTTTCCGGACCGACTTTCGAGTATATTCTACTGACCTAAATTGTTTGTTCTTAAACGCGTGGTGACATAGTTTTGAAAAGTCTCAGTCAGTCAATCTTTATTTCATACTGAAAGGCTACAGCCTGCAGTACAATAATTAATCATGTGTGGATAGTTGTACATTCTTTCTGAGAATAAAAGCTTTATGAATATATATGGACAAACTTTCTAAATTTGTTTTACTGGAATTATTCATCAATGATATAAACTTATAAGTTTCAGGATTCACATAATAATATTTCTTTATCTATCTATTTCTTAACGATGAGTATGCTGGGCAAACACATAAAAAATGAAATTCATCTTCGGTCTCATTTAAGTTGCACATTGGACATTATATTTCACATCGTGATTTTTTTATACTGCTTACAGTTTTGAAAGGCCACATGTGCCATCCTACATCTATTTCCATAACTCAATTTGCATAAGCTGCCATAACCATTTTCTACGATGTACATGATGTGGGTGTGTATCCGATACATTATACTCCCTGCTGTATTAAGATGGGGAGATAAAGTTCAAAGAAAACAATTTTCTTTGCCTCGAGTATCATATTTCCTCTTTTTCTGCTGGCACTTAACAATAATGAGTATATGTCAATGACGTAATATCCGGTTTGACACAGAAATGGTTCGCTTGCAGTCAGCTGAGGTTGCAGAGAATTGCACTTTAAAGATCTGAGACGTCTTCAGATATGCTATCTTGTTTGGAGAAGAAGAACGCAAGTCCGGAATGTTAGTTTTGAGGCAGTTCTTAATTCCTAGCGGTGTTTGACGCAAACAACAGGTTTCACATCGGTTAACTCTTTCAAACTGAACAACCTTGAGACATTTTCAGAATTGACTAATTAAAACCAACCTCAGAAAAAGACGACTGTGTTAAAACTCGGAACAAAAATTTAATTCAATATTATAATTTAGTCCACGTATTAGAAGAGAGAAATATGACAACGGTGGAAACAGCCTTAATACTGACAATACACCGTAGACTGTTGACGAAGGTGAACCAATGAAACAAGGAATGTTCTTCAAGACAAAAAGAGGTATCTGTCACCATTGCAAATGAGTGGCAGCGACATCATTCATAAGAACAATAAAACCTGCTTGAATACAGACAGAACACCCCAAACATTTACGCAAATCATTCATATTCCGACTATTGGAAGATAAATAAAATATGCGTTCAATTATACAAATTTTGACAATTAGAGCTTTTGGTTCTTTTTAAGTTTTAACCCTTTACTTCAGCCCTGAAGGGTTAAACAGCACGTGGAAAGATATTATCGCCCCTGATGGCTGACATAGCAGACAAAAACGTCCCAGGAAAACAAGCCCGCTCCTCATGTTTAGCTCGCCAGTAACGTAACGGTACACCAGAAGCATTCATAATAACACAGAATAACGGAAGGAGAATAACCAGTCTGGTCTCTCAATGGCTTGGGGTTTTTTGCGCTGAAAGTGACAGGTGTTTTTTATCGAACACTTTTAAGTAGGGCCATTTATGTTTGGGTGTAGGTGCTTGAAATACAATATACTGTATTCATGTTGGTGTTCACGTTGTTATAGTCCTTTGCAGAGCTGGTGATTTATGTTTGTTCGAAATTTGCTTAGATTCATTAAATGCCAAATATTGTCTCTGATATTTAGTGTAAACATACGTATAGCAGTTTGAGGGCTTTTGTATGGGTTGTGTCAATTACAACCTGATAGTCACAAATAGTAAAACAAATGTTTTCTGGAACCATTTGCACTCTTTGAAAGCAATCTTTGCATGTTTTACAAAGTATATATAATTTACAGGGAACTAGTTTTTGTTGCAAGATACATCTCTGCACAAAGGTAACATATCAACCTTTCGTATTGCGCCATTCTCCAGTCACTGGAGTTGTTGACAGTGTATCAGTGTAAATTCGTGTTATCAGAACAGCTATCTATAGATTTGTTTTACTTTCCAGATCTCCCAGTAGAGTAACAAATCAGCGCGGAGGAACAAATCTCTGCAATATTTACCTCTAACATTGCAGTCATGCGTTATGAAAACATTCCACAGTATTACGTCAGGTGGTCTATATCTGAAGCTTAACTTATCTATAATCTGCCTTGAAATTTTAAGCTGAGATCAATTGGTTTTCGGTAGTCTAAGGGCGAGTCGTGCTCATCCACGCTACCAAGGCATCTGTTATCGGGAGTCTTAATTAGCTATCTGTACAAGCACTTGGAGACTACGTGTTGGTCTACGAACACGTGACATCGTAAGTGTGTGCGGAACGGGCGTAATGTTACGATCTATAACGCTTGTGTTTTGTTTATCACAGATTGTCATATCTGGCACACACTCGGTGCATTGGGGTCATAGTCATTAACAGGTCGGAATCCGTGTGTTTTTATCTCCCATGATAAAAATGTCTGGGATAGTTAGCCTGGGAACTGCAGCGTTTGCGCAGCCGCTGCGATACCTTGATTTACAGTGGTATAGCTAACTGTCACGTGTGACAGGTTCTGTGACCGCGACGCGCCTACCGCTGTCACTAGACTATATAAGTAGCTGCACATTACCTGCCCGGTGGACGTGGGTTAGATAATAACTGCTCGCCCGCTCCTCGGGCATATGATTGTCTTGAGAGTGAAAGTGTCAGGGGCGGTTATTGCCATACAATTCAGGCAAGGAGGTTGATTCAGGGATTGTATGTGACAGGGAAAACGACCTTACGAAACATACACAATGGATACCTAATGAGCTCGAGTAAGAAGTTGGGGTGTGTGTGTGTGTGTGTGTGCGTGCGTGTGCGTGCGTGTGTGACAATGGGTTTACTTGGATTCATACCGATATTTTAAACATAGCGTATAAATCCGGGAAGTCATGAATGGATGATGATGATGATGATGATGGTGATGTGGTGTTGGTGGTAGTTGTGATGGGTTGGTGATGGAGGGGTGGTAAATCCGGGAAATCATGAATGGATGATGATGATGATGATGATGATGATGATGTGAGAACACCATGGATCTTAATGGAGGTGAATATAGGATTTGAACACACTCCAGCCGATCCGTGTAAATGAGACACGGATGACATCTAACTGGTGACATCACAACTACACTACCTTGACACATTCCAAATTGTGGTAGAACCCAGGCGTTACAAACGAACGCTGTGACCCCATGCCTACGCCATCCACACAGACGAGCAATTGGAACCACATGTTATAAGTATTGAAAGTTATTGGGTACACATAGCAGTACGCTGATAGAATGATTGAAAGTATTTTGACAACTTTGTTCCCCCCAGACACTTCATGTACTTCTACCTTCACACCATGAAACATGTTGAAGTACATACAGTAGCGTCCATGGACACCAAAATGCTTACTGTGCACATTTTTAGTTTCAGTGCAGACTGTTGAGGTAATTACTGCGACCACCCGTACAAAGAAAAGATGCGCATTCAGCCTAACTTGGAAGCTTATCGAGAAATCTAGCAACAATACAGTAACACAGTATGTTACGACATTTAGTGTGGGGATGTTTTTTCTATAAAGGGCAGAGGTACCCCCTTCCATCAAACAACCCCCTCCCCCATCTTACGGCCCAGGTATACCGATGCGACATTCCACCCCCTCCCCGCAGCCCCTCCCCGCAGCCTCACCAACCAGTGTTGCGTCTGTGCCCTACCCTCCATTCTCTCCCAGCCCGACCCACCTGGTTCTACTGCACACTTCCGCATGGTGTTGAAAACAGCATGTCAACTGCACACAATCTCCACACAGGTTTTATTCTCAACTGCGCACACGTCGCATACCTAATGCAACGCACATTGTCAGCGTGAAGTTATTCGAAATACGAATAGGTTCTTTTCCATACATTTTCCCCCATCTCCTGAGCCCCAAATCTTCCACGTCCCAGGGCTCTTTGGTGGTTGAAGATCTTTACTGAGAGACTGTCTCGACCCAATTATGCAAGACTCCTGTGTGTGAACATCTTGCGTCATGCCCAAAATGAACCCCTCCTGTCGCCACCCCCTCCCCCCAAACACTTTGCGAGGTTTCCATGTTATTCGACAGACATTTTAATAACAAAATGTCTTTCTTGTCAAACTGAATGCGCAGCACATTTGAAGTTCTCAACCCTTTTGAAAAATGGATTGTCATATGTAATAAACGCTGTCGTCAGTTACAGAACGCACTGAGGAGATTATTCGCACTCATGTCTGGTTCAGTCGGGAACTAAAGCATTAAGTCTTGGAACATAAGGACCACCGGCTTCTGCTGCTCCAGATAGGAACGCTAGGTGACGTCAACACTTAACTTGCTCCTTAAGCGGAGTCCGTAATCTACTTCTAAGTAAAACATATTGCCATCACCAGTCTCCACGTGTAATTGTACCTTTTGAGTAGAAAATAGAAGGAACTCCCTGAATCCTGTTTCAGTATAGAAGTAGGGTCGGGCTTCACATCGGAACCTGTATATCAGTGAAATGTGTCCGAATTTTGAACAATCCGTGTTCATCTTTCTTGTATGATATTGATTAACACAATCTTATCTTAACATAATTATAAATGTGAAGATCATGAACCTATGTATGCGTCAGTACGGTCGTATTTTCAGACACGTTTCATGAATTATGTCGACTATCCTGCAGAAGATCATATCGTTTAATTGGTGTTGCTAAAGTAATTAGCACGCATCTTTCACATTTGCCCACGCAATAAACTTTCATTTCATCTAACTGACCTGACACGTCTGTGTTCAGTTTTTAACATTCATAGTTCTCCAATGTTTGGGGTTTATGTCATGGAACATGGGCAATGATAAAAATGCACAGTAAATCTGACATGTTGACTCTCGATGTAAGAATAAGCAAATGTGTACTCACCCATAACAACCACCAGGACAACAGCAGCCACGTACAGGTTAAGGAAGAAGAGTGACACCTTGGCAAATGTCACCATTGACCTTATCATTCTCATGATGACGACTCTCTCTGTTCTCCCTCCGCTATCTGAACATCTCTCTGCAAGATAGGAAGCCCGATAAAGTCGAATGTATTCCAGATCCTTGCTACCTTCTTTAGCTGACGTCATTATCAAAAATCATTGAACATATATCCCTTTAAACCTCAGTCTGCTGCTTCGCGCACTGTCGTCTGCTACTGACAGTGCGAGCAGAACCGAGTATAGCACGTGGCACGCGAGGCTGTCAAAATGCGCTGTTGGACGGACGGACTTTCCTTGTTTCAACGGATTTAATCCTCTCTGCAGCCTGGAGTTTGGGGAGGGCTAATGAGGGAGAAAGGTGAGGCGTTAAGAGTGGGAGGAGGGCTTTGAAGGGGGTGAATGAGTAGGGTGATTATTATATCTCATCCCGATGTTGTAACACTTCGCAAACATGGAAAAACAAGAACAATTGTACACATGGTAGAAGTAATTTGGAAGAGAATTGGAAGCGAAACTTTCTTCAACAGGAATGCATTCATATTTGAAAACTCAACCCATCCCTGGTGTACAGGCAAGGGTATTATAAATAGCATATATAAAATAGCTAGCCATTAATGCTCACGTGTACTATACGTGTGTTAAAGGTACGCGGAGAACGTGAGGCATCAAGCAGTATTATACTTATATACAAACTCAACATACCATAACCCATTTTCAATCACCAGAGCTTTCAGTTCGAACCGGCTAACAAAACGCTCGAGTTCAAAGCAGACAGCATAAACACCTTCCCAGCGATCACAAATCTCGGTACGGTAAAATGATGTCATGGGCGACTGGAAAACATTTTCTCAATCCTTAACTATAGTCAGACATGACACCAGATGGCCGGGTTCATTTTGGTAGGAATACAAACAAGATGGGTCCTGATTAGGCGTAGCACGTTGCGCTGTCGGACGACTATATTGACGAGTAGGTGTCTGTTGTGTAGATCACGTCAAGAAAACATTATATGGACAACTGGCGCTGTGTGGAGTTCTGGAGGTGGGCCGGGGACTTAAGAGGCCGGTAGGGGAGTGGGAAGCTGGTAAAACATGAATAACCCTGTAAGCTCCGTGTGATGATAATTAAGGCTTTTTACGCCAGTGGAGCGTTGCCTACCGAAGCGGGTACATGATTTTGTTTAAAAACGGGCGGGGTGCATACCGCGTTAGAGGCAGAATGAACTCAGCATGTGTTGAAGAGGTCGGGGAGTCCTGTTACCTGGATGATGTTACACAGATTGGGAATATATGTCTACATAACGGATTTTGTGATGAGGAATAAAATAGTGGTATACGTGATAGTGTGTATATGATCACCATCACACCGGGTGTGACAGCGAATTATCACCGGTATATAAGATCAATACCAAGCCACCATCACGGATTCGAACACCAGACTCGACCTTATGGTGCTTCAAGTATGTCGTCACCACACCAGTAGATGTTGGTTCATCACTAGGCTTTCCTCCGCATCAAGCTTACGCCATGTTTTACATAAATACTTTTCAAAAAGGCTTGAAACCCGACTCACTCACGCACTCTGAGCGTCGACTGAAAGCTCTCTTCAAACCTTAGCGTCCTCGCCAAAATCATCATCGTTTTTGTCGGACCAGCGTTTTGCCTCGCCGTTGTAGCGTCAGAAACAGTGTTATATGACGCACCAGTTTATGGACACAACAATATATCTGGGCCAGCGTTGTGCCTCGCCATTGTAGCTTTAGAGTGAGTTAGTGAGTTTAGTTTTACGCCGTGATATTGCTGGACTAAACTCACTAACTCACTCTAAAGCTACAATGGGTTGTAGCGTTAGAAACAAGATTATATGACGCACCAGTTTACCGACACAACAATATATCTGGGCCAGCGTTGTGCCTCGCCGTTGTAGCTTTAGAGTGAGTGAGTGAGTTTAGTTTTACGCCGCTTTTAGCAATAGTCCAGCAATATCACGGCGGGGGACAACAGAAATGGGTTGTAGCGTTAGAAACAAAGTTATATGACGCACCAGTTTACCAACACCAGTTTATGGACACAACGATATCTACTTCTCCAGCCGGTGTGATCAAAACATTTATCGGTCTAATAAACAATGAGTATATTTTCGATATTTAACGGCACACCTGGTCCTCCTTCCAAAGTAGCCTTTCACTAAATCATATTGTTAGTTCATCTGAAAGAATACTCGGTGCATGTTGTTTGTATGGATTCCACGCATCACTGACTTTGCGACAGTCTGCAAGTGGTATTTTCGGGTGAACGAGAAGACCCGTATTTTCACTTGTCTTGTCGTGCAAGTGTTTTCCTTTTGAGCCACTTGGCACGATTCCATAAGCTTAACAAAGCACAACAATTAAACAGAAATGCTTATGTCACATTCGTCAATATCTACAAAGAGACATACATTTATGTTCAAAACACACCGCCTGCCATTCCTACCGACTGCTCACCTGCCCAATCAAAGCATCATACCAACTGTTTGAATGGCATTCAGACATTTGCAATTTTGTACAATATGGCGTTATAGCGGGTAAACCAAGTGGTATGTTAAGTGTGCAATTAAAATGAATGAAGATAGCACATCGCTCATTGAAACAGGATTTTGAAAACGGTTAAAGAACCGGTGGAACCGTCGATGAAGGATGACTAATGTATTGTATTCCTCGAACCGCGTAATAGCGAGGGAAACTGAAATTGACTTCAGGTGGAGCAAGAACGTAGACTATTTAAAAGACAAGTACTTGCGTAAGTTGGGTTTACCGCAAGGGGAATCGTTCACGGTATTTAGAAGCTTTGGAGCAATCATGCAGCTCGCCTGTGATATATCATCACAGCTATATTCCCAACAGTTATGTTAAGGTTATTTCTGGCTGGTGTGTTGCCACTACAGGGGATGAAGAAAGTCGTTAAGACCATGTCGACAGTTGGACACATCTTCACTTTACACACAGGCGGCCATCTTGAAACAAAAAGAGATAGTTGAGTTGTTACTTCAGTTTTACGAACGATGAGGCATTGGCTTGTAAGAAAGTATTTAAACTCAAGATGAAGAATAGATCATGAGATCCTAAAAACCGGATTCGTTTAGCACTCGATTATTTTGGGAATGTCTCCGAAGATTTAATAGCATTTAAAATCTCACTATTTCTTTTAAAAGCAGGTTGGAGAGGCTTTTGAAAATAACACATGTTGCTTTCCGCAACAGCGACTGTTATAAGTTATTGTTGTATATTAATACGCCCATTATTTCACTGGTTAATTAGTGGGGTAATAGGACGGCAATTGCATGGCGTATTTCCGAGGCGGAAGTCTGTGCCACTGTGCCGCTGCAATCGTTTGTGTACATCCGCTGTTCACTGGGTCAGTAATACTACCTCATTACAAAAGAACTACGTAATTGGCCTTCCAGCAAACAAATACCACGGACGAATATCTTCACATCAGCCCCTCATCCAAAGAGAAGATCTGTCTTTTGAAATGCACATGAATATTACCTTGGCGAGAATGATACTGTTATAGAATAGTTGTTTAATAAACAGGTAGGAACTACATTTTTACAGACAAAATGCGGATGTCTTGTTGACTTGGCTCTGTCTATTAATGTCCTCTTAAGAAGACTTGATTAACAACAGAACTATAACATCATATCGTTCACATTCCTATCCTAAAAAACCTGACAACTAACTGTAAGCAGAAAAGCTTGTGCATGTACGTGTCCATTCCAATTATGCTTTAATCTGGCATAAAAGACCTAAATAGCTGTATTTAATTAAGTGATAAAGTTTTTCAAGGTGGGCTTGTTTAAAGGTCACATGCAACGTAAAACACAACTTTGCAGATTCTGATACCTTTCGGTATGGACTTACCGAAACAAATCGTCAAAAAATGCAAATTCAACTTATAAAGTTGAAAAATAACGCGATGAAAAAAACCGCGCGAAATCGGAGTTCAAACGTTTCACTAATTTTCCCCAGACTTTTCTGGGGAAAACGGGTTTCAACAGCTTGGCTGCGCTCATAGCACGTGCGCAGTGAAATAGGTTCGCGCAGCTTGGAAGCGGGTTGTCCGGTGAATACTCGGTGAAGGCTTTGGTGTGAGCTATTATTCTAATGTTTTGTTGATATCTCACAGGCGCGAGCTTTTTTATATGTTATGACAGTAAATTAACTGTTTATATAATTTCACCACACGTTCTTCTTACCGAGTCACTTTCTCAGTTCGATACTTAAAAGCAATGTCATTATTTAGCGTTGACAGAATTTCTAACTGTGATATAGATATGTCGTTGTCACAGACAAAACTCAATGTCTTGTTTTATTGACACCTGTGTGTCTGCCTGCCTGTCTGCTAATGACAATATTTAATACACAGCTGCTATCACTGACCACATGCAATTTGAACTTAACACCAATCAGGCTATACACCATAAACAAAATGCATTGATTTATGGCCCGAGTTCGGTCTCTGTCACATTATGTAATTACACAGACAGGCAGGTGTGATAGTTGAACACTTGACATGTTATGATGTCTGTTGATTGCAAAATGTTATACACAAAAAAATGAGCATGTATTTACAAAACCCAACATCTCTACATATACACACACAATAAGCCGTGAGGGCATACGCAAATGAACCAGCCGTTACACTTGAGTGCACACCCACCCGCTCTGACTGGGTTCGGTATCCCGGCTGCTTCGTTTCTTGGGAAGTAAACCGAAGTACACAATATTGCACTTTTGATTTGCGATTGTACGCTTATAATTTTGTTTATATGTTTTTTCATAACCAGCAATGTATATTATATGTCACGAATAAGTGATAATTGTGTTTTAATTATGTTTGATTTTTTTGGTTGCATGTGACCTTTAAAATACAGTTTCTGTCCTAAAGATTCAAGATTGGATATTTCACACTGCATCACTGTTGCCAACTCATTACTAATATCCAGTACGGTTTAGCCTTATGTTGACGCCCTTTTTTAGCATCTTCGTTTCAAGTACACACACTGTACTTATTACCTGGTCTAGACCATTGATGGG